GGCTGAGACCGCCGCCGCGGCCGCGCCCGCCCCCCTCGCTCTTGTGCTCCCTCCCTCGCTTCCGCTCCGCCTCCCTCCTCCCGCCTCCCTCCCTCGTTCCCGCCCCCCTCCTTCGCTCCCGCTTCCCTCCCTCGATCACGCCTCCTTCCCTCTCTCCCTGCCTCGCTCGCGCCCCCCTCCCTCGCTCCTCCCTCCCTCTTCCTGCTCTCCACGTCGTCGTCGTCGTCGTCCTCCTCCTCCTCCTCCTCCTCCTTCTCCTCCTCCCCGTCCTCCTCCCCCGCTCCTTTCGGCGACGCTGGCTCCTCGTTCACAACGCCTTACCGTTGTGGCCACGCGGGTGTTCGTCTCCCTTTGTCAATATCATCCTCTCCATCAGTTATATATACACCTATACGACCACCCTTCGGGTGATAAGGAGGTTGGGGGGGGGGAGGAACCAACGTCCCACTCGATCGGTCTCACTATCGATCTCAATATCGATATCACTATCGGTCTCGCTCGATCGATCTCACCCGATCGATCTCACAATCGATCTTACTCGATCTATTTTATTCGATCGATCTCACAATCGATCTGACCATCGATCTCACAATCGATCTCACCATCGATCTCACTATCGGTCTCACAATCGATCTCACATTCGGTCTCACTATCGATCTCACTATCGAAGTCACAATCGATCTCACACTCAACGCCATCATCATCAGCATCAGCAACATCATCGCCATCAACGTCATCAACATCATCATTATCATCATCATCATCATCATCATCGGGGCACCATCATCATGACCTCGTAGCCATCATCTTCAACATCATCATCATCACCATCACCATGATCTTCGGGACACCATCATCGTCACCAACATCATCATCGCATCGTCATCATCGGGACACCATCATCATCATCATCGGAACACCACCATCACCATCATCATCATTCCATCATCATGAACAACAGTATCAACATCATCATCATCATCATCGGGGCACCATCATCATCAGCAACATCATCATCACCAACATCATCATCATCGGGACACCATCATCATCGTCACCATCATCACCACCACCACCATCATCATCATCATCATCATCGGGACACCATCATCATCAACATCAGCATCATCATCACCATCACTGGGCCACCATCATCAACATCATCATCATCATCACCTCATCATCATCCTCATCATCAACAATAGCCTCATCGGGACACCATCATCGTCATCATCATCATCAACATCATCATCATCATCATCATCGGGACACCATCATCATCAACATCATTATTAACTCATCATCATCATGATCAACCTCATCATCATCATCATCATCATCATCGGGACACCATCATCATCATCGTCATCATCTTCATCATCAGCATCATCATCATCATCCCATCATCATTTCATCATCATCATCATCATCAGCAGAGCCATCATCATTATCATCATCACCATCGGGACACCATCGTCATCATTATCATCAGCAGCATCATCATCAACATCATCATCATCATCGGGACACCATCATCATCACCATCACCATCATCATCATCATCATCATCATCAACATCGTCAACATCATTCTCATCATCGGGGCACCATGATCATCACCACCATCACCATCATCATCATCATCATCAACATCATCGACATCATCATCATCATCATCATCAACATCATCATCATCATCATCATCACCTTCATTATCATCATCATCATCATCATCATCATCATCATCATCATCATCATCATCATCATCATCATAGGGACACCGACGGGACACCAGCGGGACACCGGCGGGACACCGCGCGCCACCGGCCCCGGAGAGGAATTATTTGGTCCAGCCGCGCCTCAGCTGGAGGCGGGACACCGGTGGGACACCGCGCGCCACCGGCCCCCGGAGAGGAATCAGTTGGTCCGGCCGCGGCTCAGCCGGAGGGGACTTTCTTCTCGCCCGCCCACGCAGCTTCGCCTCGCCCGCACGCGCGGCACGCACGAACACGAAACCGAAGCCGATTTCCCGCTAGGGGGGCTTCCGTTCCACTTCGATCTCACCCCCTCACCTCCGATCCTCCTTTATATCCTCCTCCATCTCCTGTTTGTTCTTCTCCTCTTGCTCCTCCTCCTCCTCATCCTTCCTTCCTCCTCCTTCCTCCTTCCCTCCTTATCCTCTTCTCCTCCTCCTCCTCCTTCACCCTCAGCGCTCCTGCGTCCTTCCTTTTCTCTTCTCCAGACTGTCGGTGACGCTAGCTCCTCCTCCTCCTCCTCCTCCTCCTCCTCCTCCTCCTCCTACCTGTGGTTTCTGTACCTTTTGCAGTGCTGTGTTTTCATTCGGGCTCCCTCTACTCTTTCAGCCTCAGCTTGGGGGTTTTATTAATTTGGGGCCCAGTCTTGAACCTGACTGCGAATTCGTGTCAGTTCTCCTCCTCCCCCTCCTCCGTCCTCCTCCTCCTCCCCCCCCCATCCTTATTTTTCTGTTCAAACAACTCCCCGCTGTCGCACCCCCAGGTGTGTTGGTAGGCCGGTCCTGACGTTTCGCCCGATTTTATCCGTAAGGGCTTCGCCTTCTGCCGCCGGACCCCCCTCTACCAAAATGGGATATACCAGAGTCGCGTCGGTGCGTCTCGGCGCTGCCTTGGCGCATCTGGGAACATCATGCGGGGGCGGATAGGAATCATCAGCGCATATCGAGACGTTGGTGTTGTCCTAGTGGCCTTCGGCCCATCCCGCCACCGTGTCTGGGTTGTGGGTCTGAGGCCTCTTGTATATGTGTTGGGGTGTCGTGGGGAGCCTCGCGGGGGCCTTTTGGAGGTTGTTTCGGCGCCTCTTGGGGGCCTCTTGGGGCTTCGTGGGGTATCTTTTGGGCCTCTTGGAGGTCTCTTTGGCGCGTCTTGGGCGCCTCTTGGGGCCTCTTGGGGCCTTCTGGGGGCTCCTCCGGCTTCTCGGAACGCTTTGTAGGCCATCTTGAAGCCTTCTCGGGCCGTCTTGGGACCCTTTTGGAGGCGTCTTGGGCTGTCTTGGGGCGGTCTTGGGAGCTTCTTGAGCCATCTTGGAGCGCCGGAAAGCCGAACATGCGAAAACCCCAAAGTCCTTCAAAACTTTTTTTGTAAAATCGACTATGTTGGCCTCTTGGGGCTCTCTCGGGAGGCCTCTTGGAGCGCTCTTGGGCCCTCTTGGGCCGTCTTGGAACCGTCTTCGGGCGCCTTGGAGTATTTTCGGCCTCGGCAATACGAATATGGCGTAATATTCTGTTGTTTATGGCCACGTGGACGCGAATATTGAATAATTCACGAGGGTTTTTTTGCATAGGGGAACGCAAGCGTTTAGCAATTTGCAAGGGCTTGTGGCCTCAGGGACGCGACAACCGCGTATTTTACAGAAAGGATTCTGGCTTCGGGGGCGCGACTATTGAGCAATTCGCTTGGGTTTGTAGCTTCGGGGACGCGAATATGGTGTAATTTAATAGGGCTTGTTGCCCCGGGGACGCAACACTTGTGTAATATACAAAGGTTTGTTGCCTCGGAGATGCAGCAACGATATAATTTGCAAAGGTTACTGGCCTCGGGGACGCGAACATTGTATAATTTTCAAAGGATCGTGGCCTCGGGGGCACAACAATGGCGTAATGTATAAGGATTGTGGCCCCAGAGACGCGAATGTAGTGTAATTTACAAGAGATCGTGGCCTCGGGGGCGGCAATATGGCGTATTCTACAATGGATCGTGGCCTCGGGGACGCGAACACAGCGTAGTTTACGATTGAGTATTGCGTAAGGAGCGCGAATATAATGTATTTTTTTATTTGTCCCACGGCCAGGAATTCAGAGCATGGGATTCGGGGGTGATCACCGGGTACTTTTCGGCTCCCCCCTCTCACGCGGATTTCAACACTCTACAGAGAGCAGGACTGTAACACTGGAGATTTGAAACTGCAACTTGTGCAGGGAGCAGAAAGCCTAAGCCTCGCAGCCTGATGGCCCCACAAGGGGGCCGGCGGATATCTCCATATCTGATTGCAGAATTTGGCATCCGCACGCGGTTCAAGTCGCTGGTGGAAGTCGCAGATCGGAAGATCTCACTCAGGACGAGCAGATCTGGAGAGATCAGGTGAACGCGGCATGCGCGCCCTGACTAGCTGGCGTCGTCGCGCGCACTTTCCTTCCCCCTCTCGCGTGTCCTCGGTCGTCCTCCCTTGTCGCTCGTCCCTCGCTCGCTCGCTCCGCCTCGCCTCGCGTCCCCGCTCGTCGTGCGTCCCTCCCTCCCTTCGTGCATCCTCCCCTCTTCACTAGGAGTGGATTCATTCTTAACGTACGCCCGCCGACGCGCCTTTGGGAAGATAGCTTCTGTCTGTCTGTCTGTCTGTCTGTCTGTCTGGCAAGGATGGAACATACGTCGTTTTCAAGCTGCGTGTCTCGCTTCAGCGCCGCGCAGGTCCGTCTTACAGTTCAGCAGGCACGCTCAGGGACGGAGGCTGGTTCCCCTTCAACAGGCTGGCCAGCGTGGGCCCCGACACGGTGATCTCTTGCAATCCACGCGTTGCGACTTGGGATGTGCAATCCTTGTGGTGCAATTTGGGTGGCGAGGTCCGTGTGGTGCAGTGTGCGTGGCGCAAGAACTCGAACAACAATGCGCAGCACTGCGACGCGATGCATTGCAATGCAAACACTGCCAAGCACCGCAAAACACTGCGCAGCAATGTGCAGCGATGCAACGCAGCGCAACGCAATGCGACGCAATGCAACGCAACGCAGCGCAATACAGCGCAATGCAACGCAATGCAACGTAATGCAACGCAAGGCAAATCAATGCAAAGCAATGGAATGCCATGCGAGGCAATGCAAAGTAATGCAACGGAGTGCAAAGCAATGCAGATGATTGCAACGCAGTGCAAACCAATGCAAACCCATGCGACGCAATGCAAAGCAATGCAAAGCACAGCTAGGCACAACGCAAGGCAAATCCATGCAAAGCAAGGCTAAGCACTGGAAGGCAG